ACACACGGTGACAACGTTGGGACAGCACACACGATCAATCGACCGATCGCGAACTCTCTGTTCGTGTTTGGCGAATGGTCGATTGGATGCGCCTACTGTCCCRACAATATCACCTCCTGCTTTGATTAATYWTCCATTGGGCAGATCAGGGGCGGCATYATTGCGACATCACGCAGSATCAATCTTGATTGGCCTGTTCATCGCGTGTGAGGTGTCGCCGATGTCACCACGTGCTAGATCGTGATAGACCRGTTRAACACAACTGGAGCTCACGGTCGCGCACRCACACACAAACACACACCCGGTGGTAACGTTGGGGCGGCACTCACAATCAATCGACCGCTCACGTGTGGTCCTCTTGTATTAAACTGATGAATGGAGAAAGATCCGATCGGGCGCGCGGTGATTATGTTTCGTGATTGGTCACCTCGGGCTCGATCGGAGCTTTCGTCATTCATCACTTAATCAGGTCATGAGAACTGCCCACACTCGATTGATCCTGTTTGCTGCCCCAATGTCATAGTCGTCGATCTGCCCAATGGATGATCAATCGAAACACGCGGTGACAATGTCGAGACATCGAAAGTATCCAATCGACCAATCGCGAAACACGGTCAGAGTAATCTGATCGTGTTCCCCGATTGATCGAGATCCGCACACCAGATTACAGTTGTGCGTTAGAACGTACGCAATCGCCGGATATTCCACGCACATATCGCCCAACGCCCGAACACAGCAGGAGCACACTCGGAATGCAAACCATATCATTCATCCTTGACCGCACACCTTCACGACAACCTCCGCGCGTACAATCTGCGCAACCACACATACACGCACACAAACAGACATACGCACACACACATACACGCACGTGCACACACGCCACGCACACACATAAGCCCCTCACGTACAAACACGCACAATACTTCCTTGCATGTGTGTAGTACACTTCATACGTTAACACAAAAAAAAAAACACTCGAACACACACTCACGTACACTCACGTATGCACACACGAGACGCGCAGACAAACAACCTCACACAGTCACACACACACACAACCGCCCGCACACATACAAACACACACTCGTTCAATCTGCGCGGACATGTCTGCACAAAACCCACCCACAAGCGCACACAGAAACACACACGTCCCAGCTGTGTGCGCACTCACCGTGTGAAAATGACGAGTGGAGATGCGTGCAGATCCCGACGTCGATCGAGACAGCACTACGCCGACCTTTTGCCGTGCGCTTTGTGTTTGCGATGGTATTGCGTGGAGTGGCGGACGCGCTTATCCAGAACAGATCCCCGCAGCGTCGACGGGATCTCGACACGCGACGTCGAAGATGACGTGGACAGCAACTTGGGAGGTGGAGGGAGATGCGTCGAAGCAACGGAAGCGAGCACGATTTAGAACGGGTGTCCGTTCGCTTTGCCAGCTATGGCGCTCCAGCTGTGCGGGGCGATGGTGTTGACGACAGTGGTGGTCCGAGGCGTCGTTCGGCGGCATCTCCCCAGCAAAAACGCAGAACGCGGCGTTTTTGCCCTGGGTGCCACTCGTATTTGTAGGAGCACGGGTGTCGGGTCCCCTTCGGGTCTTCCATTCCAGAGTGCCATGCAGGGTCCGTTTGACGCTGCATGACTGTTCGGTTCGCGCATCGAACGGTGGCTACACGTCAAATTTCCCGCGAGGGGGACCCGGTGCGCACGACATGGCAAAAATGTCCCTGCAGACAGGCCCTTCCCGGACGTCATGAAAAAGGGCCCTTGTTCCTGGCCCCTTGCGTT